TAAAATTGCCAAAATTATACAATTTAACAAAAACATTTCATACAAATCAATTAAAATTGTCGTAAAGTTACTTGTCGGGTGGGTCCTTTTAACTTGGAGGACTTTCGCCTTGCACCTTCATAATGAGAATACTAGGAATAAAGGCCAGTGGCTCTTTCCGGCCACAACGGAAGTATTCCTCGCGGCCCAATAATTTTCCTTTTGTGGGCTGACCATATTTTGTGGCCTGCCCCACATATTTTGACTGATATGACCGTCGGGCGGTAATGGCTTGGCGACTGAATTTTAATTCCAAATTTGATCAGATTTTTTAGTATTTTTAATTCATAAAAAATTAGATGGACACAATTTAATTTAAAAAATCTGTAATTTATTATAAATTAAATGATAAATGTTATCTATTTCAGCCAGGTAAATATTCAAATTCAATTATGTGTGTGTTCATATACATATTATATATATACATAATATATGCAATATATAATATATCATAATATTACATGTATCACAATATATACTTGATTTATCAAGTTTTAATTAATAAATTATTTTTTAAAAATATAAATTAGAAACATTTTTTATAAAAACAGAAAATAAAAATATGTATATTGACAAGTTAAATATGGTTTTTTATATATTACCAACAATTTAGTCTCGAATGCATGCAATATTTATAACTAGTCAAATATAATTATATTATATTAATATTTATGAACTCTAAAATTATTTATTATTCATGTATTATTTTTAATAGTTTCTTATGTTAGTTTAGATTTATATTTCCTAAATATACAATAGTAAAGGTATAATAATTTAATAATTTAGACTCTAATTATTGTTTCGATTATCAAAATTTTATCATAAATCAAAAACACCAAACTCATATTATATAAAATTTTGAATTAAATTCGAATCCAAAAATCGAATCCAAATCTACTAAAATCCACCCCTCAATAAAATAGATATGAGTGCCAACAGGGTGAGAAAAAAAAAAAGCAGCAGAAAGTAAGGGAGAGAAAAAAATAGAGTTTGAAATACTTAATGCTTTAAATATATAGCACCACTAATTTTGAGAATTTAAAAAGGATTATAAGAGAAAATTAGCATAACAAAAAAGGCTAAAGTTCTTTATCCTTGTTTCCTTTACGTCTCCCATTCCACGTTCAAATTTCAAATTAAAAAAAGTTGAGAAGGCATTAAAACAAATTAGATTCTGAACAAAGGAGCAAATATGGGCCCACCTAAAAAAATGCGCATAAAAAATAATTAAAAAAATCATAATTCAATAATTTAACATAACTTAAAAGGCATATGGCAAACTAATTGATGAAACAGATAATTGCAAATATTGCATCGAAGTCATATTTCAATTAAAAATACAAAAAGAGTAATAATTATTTTTTTATGAAAAATAATCTATAAGTGAGTAGGTAAACTTCTAGATTGGGTTTATATCAAATTCTAGTATCAATTTTGCATTATTTTTATTAAACTAACTAAGTCACTTTCTCAATAAAATTAATATGAATTAATTAAATAAAAAAATTAATTTAAACTGGCATAATTTATTTCCTAATATCATGAAAATAGTAATTAAAAAAAAAATTTAAACTGATTAAATAAAATTAAAATATATCTAGATTGAGAATATAAAAAAAAAATTTATTAAAAATTCATCCGATTTAAATTAAAATTTTCTACGTAGATTTTGACTTCCTGCTTGTGTTCTTCTCACGAGCTTCGTCTCTCTTCTCTCTTTATTTTCTTTTCTTTTTTTTTACTTGTTTACATAATACTTCAGCCTAATAATGTATTAAAGAGACGCCTTTCTTTATGTTTTCTTTAATAACATTATTTTATTATAAATACACTTATTTTTTTATTATTAAATTACTATGACTATTATTATTATCGTCGTAGTCGTCATCATCATTATTATGTATTAAGTTTTTCACGCATTTCACGTGATAAGTTATATATATAATTATTATTTTTTTATTTATTATTATTATTTTCCTACCCACAAGGTTTTGTAAAATGTCCATTTTGCCCTTAAAAATTATGAAACTTGTTAAAATAGGTGTAAATTACTAATTATCTCACTAATCCTATTTATACAAAATAAACCATAGGACACATAATGAAAATTTTGGATTGGGATGTCACAGTGACAAAAAATCACACTTCAATAATTTAACATAAATTAAAAAGCATATGGAAAACTAATTAATGAAACAAATAATTGCAAATATTGCATCAAAGTCATATTTCAACTAAAAATACAAAGTAAACACTAATTGAAATACATTTTAATAAAAAAACATTAATTTGTCTTCAGTGAATAAATATAAAGAAAAAATAATAAACTAAATAAAAATATTTTAAAAAATAAATTGTTATCACAAATTTCCCAAAGAAATCTATATAAGTGGTTCCAAACCTTTGTGGTTCATTGTCTAATTGATATGTCGCATTGCAATTACGTTCCTCCAAGTAATGCCAAGTGGCACCCTTAGTGTTATTTTCCTGCCATGTGGCAGCATTCTAGACTTCATGATAGGTAAAGGCCATGAAATCTCAATTACGCTTCTGTTAATAAATTAAAGAATTACCACGCAATTTGTGCTTCAGCATTTGCCAAAATAATTAAGAAAAAAATTGGATTGAATTACCGCCACGGCTGCTGAATTAATTGAACCGCCATTGCCTTGAGCCTCAAGTCTCCAGAAGAAAAATTGGACTGAAAGCAGTCAAACCAATTCATTGCATATTTGAACTGTTTGCTAGTAAAATCTCCCGTTCAACCAGCTCACAAGTGTTCTTCAACTTGTGAGGAGCACTGTTTGCAAGTAAAATCTCCCGTTCAACCAGTTCAAAAGTGTTCTTCTACTTGTGAGCAAACTTCTCCGATATGTTCCTAGCGACCAATTTGATATTTATTCCAGCATCCGTGCAACTTTTTAACATGCTCCAAACCCACTAGGCCTAACAATGGTAGTTCGTCTGGTCAAGCCTTGCATGATGCATTTCGAAACTTTAGCATTTTCATACTTTTTAATGATTATCCGGAACTCAGTTTTATGTTTCGTGGATGGTTTTGATTGTGCCACTTCTGTCACACACAAAACATAGGTAATATTGTCTCAGGGAAACCCTTCCAATGTATCTCACTCTATCCCGGTCCCTGCTTATTATGGCAACCCACTTTGTTTGTCGATTGAATGGAAGGACGCAACCTGGAGAATTTGTAATTCATAATTCGGATCATCTATATTCATACCTAAATCATAACACCCCCACTTGGATGGCCTCTCTCTCTTTTGGGCTTCCAAAAAATTTAGCTCCACTTCAGATCTAATGTTTAGACGGACACTCCGTTGTAACAATCGGAGAATGGGGAGTGCAATCCGACCTATTCCTTCGTCCATTTGCTCTTTTGCTAGCCAAACTGAACGACCTGCATACGATTTAGGTTGACGATTGTGGTTTTGTCTGTGCAGATGACAGTGACCAACTGTATCGATTCCAATGCAGAGAGTCACGGACCATGGCATGGTTACTTCTCATTTGCTTTGCAGAGTGAATCAAACCATATAAGATTGATAGCAAGTTAAGCCTTCTGGGACGAAAACCATCAATACTGTAATTATCATAGCGATTATGTATCCCTTAACTCCCTATGAAGGACTGGATCGGAAGAACCACAAGGAGAATGGTAACAGCTCCTAAACCAACTCGGCCGATGCTGTAAATCAGAATGTTAAGTTGAGCCCACAATGAGGTCTGCTCATTCAAGCAATGTCTTGGACTTTGAGAGCCCCTCTTCTCACCCCATGCGGTTGTTGCAACTACAGGCGTCACGAAGCATGCCCCCCGACCCTTCCCTGACCTTGGATTCGGCAAGAAAATAGAATACCCGTCTGGCAAGTTGTTTTCATTTTGCGCAAACTGTTTTTGAGGGGGATTGTCAAAAACAGGCCACTTGTTACCAAATACCAGGAAGCTGTTGTCAGTCAGAACAGTTAGAAACTATGTTTGCTCAAAAATGAAAATATTATATTTGTCATGATAATTTTGAATTTCATACATTGAATTTAGAGAGAAAAACTTTATATATTGTATCTATCATAGCTGGAGAGAGTGTTAATCCCCTTCGTTACTTCCATCTCTTCTTGTTCTCCACCACGCATCTGATTTGCTGTCCAGTTCTATTCTATTTTTTATAACCCCCTTAATTTGTGGCTTATTTTCATTGGGTCCAAACAGGAGGAGAAGCATAGGAGATTTATACCTCATCTAATTTTAATGCACGGTAGCCCAAAATCCACTTTTATATTCAATATTTTATTATTCAGCAATTTCGACTTGAATATATTCACAATAATACGAGTGTAATGGGAAATAATTTGATTATCTTATATACAATTTGTATAGTCCCACTACTTAACAAGTCCTATTCTCATATTACCTATTTTTTTTCTTTCTTTTTGTCCTTTTTTACCATGCCTTTAGACGCATCCCTAATATCTCATTTTGGTGCCGTCGTTTGAGTAGAAGCCGTGAACACATAACAAGGGGTGTTTGGTTTGGCTAAAAGATTTGTTTTTTCCTTCTTGAAAATTTTTCAAGGCTTTTCAATATTTTTGGGTAAACACGACTCTTACCTTACATAAATCAAGTAAATTAATATCGCAGTCTTGAAACCACGCAGGATGTGGAAAACCAGGACTGGTTTCCTCAAACACAAGAAACGTTCATTTTGGTGGTTGAATTGAAGTGATATACATTACATATAGATCATCAATACACTTTATATTTGATATCATTTTGACCCTTCACTTGGAAAAGAATAACAATTAGTGATTGGCATAACAAAATTTAAGTTAGAGACTTTGCCAGGCATTAGAATCGTGGACTCGTCCATCCTCAGCTTCTCGTGCTCTAGAGCCTCATAATTTAGGGTTTTTTGACAGTCCATGAGAACTCTTTACGTAATTTTCCTAGGTTGTACCTAGTTCTAAGCCTAAGCAAAACGAAGCAGCTTTATGTTGCCATGTCGGTTGGGATGCTGGAAGCATAAACTCTGTTCCTTGCCTTCCCAGCCTGGGAAACATGTTAAGTTTAAAGAACAGCCATTAGAACTCAAAGGTCATATTTGTTCCTGAAAATGGTGTTCTGCTTTCGGGAAGAGAAAACGTCGTTTTCAAACATTTTCAAAAACTATTTTTGGATAACAAATTTTAAAACGAAACTAAAAGGCAAAAGCAGAAAATAGAAAAAAAAAATCCAAACAAGCTATAGATCTAGTGCCTTGACTAGAGAGTTTATCAGTTTACTTGCTTCTCCCAATTCGTACGCAAGGTATAATGGCTTGAAACAGAAAAGCTTGAAGAGCACTTCCAATCATGATCCCCAACCAAAGGCCCTGAAAGAAAGTGGGGATCAATAAAACAGTACAATTTTGATATATATGCTTTAAAGAAACGTGAACCAACGGAGCTCTTACCTATGCCTAGGGGTGTTCACGGGCTTGGTTTGGTTCGGTTCGGTTCGGTTCAATTTTGGACCCAAACCAAACTAAACTAAACATGTCGATTTTGGTTTTCATTAAACATGATCAGTTTTTTTTTTTTTTTCAAAAAATCGAACTAAATCAAACCGACTTAAGTCGGTTTGGGTTGACATGTTTGGTTTTTTATTTTTTTTAATTTGTAAAAAAATTTAATATAAATATAAATATATAATATAATATATACATATAAATATATATATAATAAATACAAGATAAATAAATATATATAAATATAATATATAAATATATAATAAATATATATTCGTTCGATTCAGTTCAGTTTTATTTTGAGACAAAACCGAATCGAACTAATCGATTTATGAGATGTTATAACCGAATTAAACCGATTTTTTTCGGTTCATAGTCGATTTGATTCAATTTAGTTCGATTTGTCAGTTTAGTTCGATTTTAAATATCCCTGCCTATACCCCAGGGTGGAACCTAGAAGTTATTATGATTGCAGATGGAAGCCCCAGCAGGTAATAAACTCCCAAGTTCACAAATGCATGCACCTATCTTCTGCCAACCACACCCCCTCGCAATCTCTGTTCCGAGGCAAAATAGATAAACAATTAAATAAATAAAAATGCTTCTATCACTCTACAATTCCTTGCAACATATTAACCGAAGAAAATCAAAAACATTTGCTATCAAGAGCCAAAGCTTAAACTCTGACCTGAAAGCACAGCTTGAATTCCATTCTCTCTGTTCTTGGAAATGTGAATGGAGCTAGAGAACTCCATAGAAGTATTCCTGAGTACGTGTTCTGACTGTGAGTAATAAAATAAACGGAATAGAACTAATTCACCGTCCTTATCATTTACAAATATAATTTGTAGTGGAACGACGTCGTCGTGCCTACCTGAAATGCATTGATGAAGAATCACCATTTTCTTTCTTCTTCTGAAAATTCTGACAATACGTCATGCTACAAAAGAACTTTGTCCTCAAGATTTGAGGTTTGGTTTAATCATGCTTTTAATTTTTTCCTTTAATCCACGCACATACTGAACATTCTAAATAATACTCTTCCTTTAGACCCATTGAGCACTCTGTTTATTTTGGTAGTGAGACATATTTATTTTTTAACGTATTATTTTAATTTTTTTAATGTACCATTTTTAGTTTATTTTTATTAAATTTAACAAATAAAGTGTCTTTGAATTCCTGTCACTGGCACAAATTTTCCTTTATAAAATATCGTGTAAAAAAAATTCACAGTTAAACTATTGCAATTACTTCAGTCACTTGATCATGTCGATTCGTGCATCGCTGAACAATTTTTGTTAATCTCCAACTCCCTCCATTTTTGATTTCATGACACTGAATTTTAAGTATGTTTATTTTTGAATTTTGAAAAAATGAATATTTTATTTGTTCTTAATACTATATCAAACTGAATTGTATATAATATATTTGTGTTATAATTCAAGATTAGAAACATATTTTTGTTTGCTTCACAAAGATGCTTATTTTTCATTACTTTATATAAGACTAGTTCAACCTTCCCCCCCTCTCCCCCCCCCCCCCCCCCAAAAAAAAAACAACAACCCAGACCACTTCTAATCACTAGTTCCAAGCAAGAATGATTGTCCAAGACTGTCTTCTATTCACAACTACTCTCCCCTCTCTAACCATCTCCATTACCTTCTCCCATTTTTGCTTAATCAATAATGCATATAAACTTGTCACCATTTGAAATTTCATTTTGTCCATTTGATACACTAGCCACATGTCCCTGCACTCAAAGGATTGTGTTTATAGAGTTTGAGAAGTGAATTTTGAAATTTTATGTAAATTTTTCAATGTTATAGCGAGAGTTGTAGTTAAGTTAATAGAAATTTAAAATATTGCAGTTTAAGGTGACAAATGAAACAACCAATGATAGTTAATAGAAATCTATCACATCTCTCCTTTTCACATGCTAGCTCTATTTTAATATTATTAGAGAACCATTAAAATCAGATTAATCAAACGGTTCAAAAATCATATTTATCTTTTATTGCAGCGCAATTCTTTATTAACGTTAATTAGATGCTAATTAGGACCCCAATTAGGTTCTTTATTGGTTGAAAAATTTTATATATATATATATATGTAGTCAACAAACAGTACCAATTTTTTCCTTGTTGCATGCCGATATGTTAGTAATATTTCATTGAGAAACACACACACACACACACACACACACAGACATGATAATTGCCATCAACAATACAAGGTTGCTTCTCATGGATAACACAAGGCAAGTTTTTCAAACTTAAAAGAGAGAGAGACGGGAAAAATTAACCAAATAAAAATTTGTATAGCTGTACTGCGGAATAACTCAGGGCAGGATATCTGTCTGGGTGCGGGAAGAATAAAGTCTATCCCTTGCCTTCATTGCCTGATAAAAGCCAAAAGAAGAACACTGTAAAATGGAAATTCACTGTCTAATTTTACCTACCAGATCAGGAGGATAGATGCAATTTACCTCTTTCCCCCAGTCAGTGTGCACTGAAATGGCCAAAAGCAATAATGCTTGCAGGCCACTCCCACTAATGATTCCCATCCAAAGCCCCTGTATTTGGGGAAAGTTCAATTGATAAAAGGAAGACAAGAGAAAAAGACTGAAGTTACATTCAAAGGTGAAAAAATTAAATAACTTTCTATAAGAATATTTTAATTAATTTTATTTTAACAAAAATCATATTAAATATGAATCTCAAATATTTTGCATTAATAATAACAATAACCTATTTTCTAACTTTTTGATCTTGTTTTATTGTTCATCTATAATTACCTCGCATTCTCCTCCATTATTTAATTTGTTTATAAATCCCGGGTGCTTAATTTTTAAATTAAGCATTAGATTAGCACCCTGATACATTAAGTAAGCTACTTTAAACATCATATATGGGCTTTTAAGTAGGTTTCATAATTAAAGTCCCGTAACTTATGACTGTATTTACATTATAGGAAAATTATGTTTCAAGAAATAACTTCTTACCTTCCCTCCCAGGTGCACTAAAAGACCTAATGTGATGGCACGGGGAAGTCCCACAAGATAATAAGCTCCCAGATTCACCAATGTACCGAGTTTCTGCCAACCGCAGCCTCTTGCAACACCTTTTACCACCCAGAAAACGGTTCAATAGGACAATTAAAACAAATCACGGGAAAATTCTTGAATTGAATTATTTAATTGAACCTGAAAGAACTCCCTGGATTCCATCCATGAAACCAGAAGTAGCAAGGATTGGTACTACCGATGCAAAGTACTTTACAACTTCCTCTTCATTTGTGAACAAGAAGCCCCAATAGTCTCTCGCTGCCACTGAAATCAAGGCTACCAAGAGGCCCCCTGTGACTGCTAAGAGTATCACCACCCTCACTGCTAGTCTTGCAGCCCGAGCGCGTCCCGCACCAAGTTCATTGGACACTCTCGTGCTTTTGATCCATTGAGAGGCTATGACTGTACTATTTTCATCTCTCATGAAAACATTGACTCCACACTTTTTTGCAGTTGTGTGGGGCAACTTTAAAAAGATTACACTCAACCTTACTGCACTGCCCGCCCAAATGGGATTCGGTAGACCACTGAAGTTGCAGTAAGGCAGGGAGATTAAAAATGCAGTCACGTAAGGAACAAGTTGTAAAGCTAATTGGCTGCACAACCGAGTTGTTTGTAGATTCAAATATCCACATCCATGAGATCAATTTACTAACAGAACCACGTCTCCTCTCAGATCTCCTTATGTGTATGTTTCAAAGAAAGAAAATCGAAAAACATGAAATTCAAGCAAACGTGTTGTGTCCTAGATTAGACTAATCTGGATTTGTGCTGGCAGATTTAAATATAAATGGATCCGGATCTCCTTGGATCTCGTTATTGAGGTGTGAACTGGGTCTAAACCTTATTGGAAATCAATGTGAAGAAGGATACGATATAGCACTAAATAGGAAATGCTAGAGATAACAGTGGGAAGCAAGCCTGACAGACATCATGGACGTTTCTAGCTTCGGGTTGGGAAGATTACCCGACATGAGAACCAAGAACTCGTACGACCAGAACTCCAAGCTTATGCAATAAAATATCGCACATGCAAAATCACATTATTGTCCACGTAAGGAACAAAATAACTAAACACGAGACAGAACATTTGTCCATTTCTCTGTACCAAGATTCGAACTCACCAGACCATGAGACCCGAAGGGATGGACAGCGACAGAAACTCGAGAAGATTATTCATTCCCTCCTTGGAAAACCCAGTCCAAGTCTTCTCACACGCCGCCGAAAACTTGATATAAACCGCTAGCATCAACACATTGGCCCAGTAAGAGACGGCAGAGGACAGGGCAGCCCCGTTTTCCCCGAAACCAAACCCGAAAACCAGGGTCCAGCACATTATAACATGGATCAAACTGGAAACTCCAGTGCTTATGATCAATGGAGCTATGTTGTTCTGGGCTTGCAGAAACCTTAGTTGGCACTGGAGAAGGCCGTAAGGCAAGATGCTGGGAATCAGCCACCGAGCGTACACTCCGGCCCGACCCGAAAAATCCGGGTCTTGACCGAAGAAGGAGAAAATTTGAGCTGTGCAAGCCCAAGTCAGCTATGGGAACGCTTGTGAGGGTGAGAACGAGCATGGCTCTCTGCATGTGGACGCTTAGCATTTGGTACTGCCCTGCTCCGTAGGCTTGGCCACAGAATGTCTCCAGTGCTCCTCCCATTCCCAGCTAATTAGTCAATACATCCATGCAAGTTTGGAATTTTGGATTAGATTGCAGAAATTCATTTATTGATACCCAAGTTCAAGACAAAGTTGAGTTTCTTGCCATTGCGAGAAAGTTTTGAAACAACATGTATGTCAACTTATGGGCCAGTGTTGTATAGTTTGTGAGTTAAAAAGGGTGGAATTTGCCTCACATTAAAAATTTAGAGAAAAGAATTATACTATATATACAACTCTATTCTAATAAAATTGATAAGTTCATGAGTTTGAAAGTTTTTGTATAAAACAAAATCTAATATATATATATAATATATATACACACACGTATTTATTTAATATTGAATGACTTGGCTTAGTATTAATATAAAAAGAGTTATTTATTTATTTATTTATTTTAAAAAAAAATTTTCTAATTAAATTTAAAATTTGAATTAATAATTATTTTTTAATAGACACACCCATTCAAACTCAACGGACATTTTGTTAATATATATGTTAGAAATCATTTCTATCAAAATTTATTAATAAGACTTGTTATATTCCGGAAGAATTTTATCTGATTTACTTCCTAAACCAAATAAATATTCTTTTGAAAAACTATTTCACGCCTCAAGCCTTAACCACTTCTTCCATATTTTTTTCTCACAGCCAGTTCAGTGATAGCTCCTCTCTGGGTTTTCAACGCTAGGTAATGTTTGATTTCATTACGCTGTCGATTTGGGATGAAAGAATCACTAACTATAGAGTTGATAATTGGTTATCAGATAGTATATAAAAGCCAAAAATGAACTGAAAATTTTGGTTTGGAGTGGACTGCGTTAGAAAAACCCAAAACAAGACTGATTACTTAATCTTATTTTAACATTTCATTATAATATAGAAAGAGCCGCCAGATCATCACAAAGTCATTATGTTAAAAATCATGAAATTATGTAAAATAAATCTAAAATATCCCATTATTTTCTTTTTCAGTAATTAAAGAATATTAAAAATATTAAGTTGTTTAGTCACCACATAAAACTCACAGCTGAGGCTTACACCAAACTATTAGAATTAAGGTGAGGTTGTAAGTGACCCAAGCCCGAAACAATCCAACCCGCTAACCCAATCCATTTGCCACCCGTACTAGGCCTTGAGAAAAAGGACTACTCTATAAGGTGCGTTTGGATGGAGCTTTGACCAACTTACAAGTTTGAAGTCTCTCTGTATACAGCAAAAATTAAACATGCTTAAACGCATTTGTCGCTAGGCGATTATGACAGTTCTCTGATATCAATAATTGATGACATAACGACAATATGGCTACGATGTCAATCAGGGGACCCAGGTTCCGAGCCATGGATCCACCTGACCTCCGGACTAGAGCACAGAGGTGGTACTCTATGACTTAGTCATCAACAAGACAACGATGGTGAAGGTGCCCCGCGTGATGTCTGTAAGTCTCAATTTTTTCCCAGGAAAACATAAAAAGGTCTGTAACTGCTTAAAGATTCTGCCAGCAAAAATGGACCCAAATGGAAAGTAAAATGGTTTCAATAAATGCATTTGTCATGTGAACGAAACATTGAAATGATGGCCTGCACGAGATTCATTCGTTCGCATATAATATTATTTATATCAATTGATTTAATAAATATTAAGATTACTTATCCATGAATCAATTCCTAGTATTAAACACAGTCTTTTTTTAATAATTTTGCATGTTAAAAACAATAATAATTTTGGGCTTTGTTCAAAAACAGAAAAGCTGTGTCAGAAATTATGCCTTTTCAAAGTTGTTTCCATAATTCTCATTTATTTTGGCTCAAGAAAGAAAGTCAAAAATAACGACAGGGTTTCTGAAACGGGAAGTATTTCTATTTCTACAAAATAAAGAAGACGAAAACGGAAAACGTAAAACAGAAAAAATTGTTTCCAGATCATGATAAAATATTTTTAGTTAACAAAATGAAAACAGTAAGAAACAATACGAGTTTCCCTAACTTGCATTGCTTTCGGTTCTCACGAACAAAGAAAATGAAAATATAAAACATAAAGCAAAAGGCTGAAAACAAAATAGATAGTTATGGCCTTACCATCAAGCTGAAACCGGTGACACCAGCAAAGGAGGCGGCCATGGAAGCACTGGAGAGAGATAGCTCGCCAAGATGACTAACGAACATGATCGACACCATCTGAAGACTGTACTGCAAGAAGCTGACGATTATCAGAAGACCCGCAAGCTTGACTTGCTTCCTGAGCTCTTCAATGGTTTCAAAAACACCATCTTCTTCCAACAACATACGACCCTCATGGTAGGAGGCTGCAATGAGAGGAGATTCGAGGTCGGAGTTGAGGTGCTCTCGATCCATGTCCGACCCTTGCTTGACTTCCCCAGAAGAAAAACAGCACAGGCCAGGGAAGGCAGGCAGGGTTCTCCTCGGGAGGGTGAGGAGAACATTGAGCACATTGGAGAGCTTTGAATGCGGAAAAAAAAAAAAAATATATATATATATATATATATATTATAAAAGAATGGACATGCAGACGGCATGCGTAGCTAGCTTTTGACCACCAAATCATGATATAATTAAGACTCGTTAAACATAAAATTTGCTGACATTTAATTTAGCTACACCTACATGGGTTACCACATAACAAATTATTTGTTAACAAAAAACTATAAATAAGACACGAAAATACGAAAGAAAAAAAAAAAAGGAGAAGAATGGTTGAGCGATAGAGAGACAAAAATGTTACCATTAAAATAACACACACTTCATGTTTGTATTAAAGCAAAGGAGATTTGAAACCGCGGAATATTAGTGAGCTTACATTCGTGATTTTTACTCAGAATATATTAAATTCCTTATTTTAACCTGGGTTTTCTCAACAATCACAAAAGAGGATAATGCAAAAAAAAAAAAAACTTTAGATATTGAATGTCAAATTGTCAAATTATAAAATTTAACAAAAACATTTCGTGCAAATCAATTAAAATTGTCGTTAAATTACTTGTCGGGTGGGTCCTCCTTTAAGTTAGAGGTCTTCCACCTTGTACCTTCATAATAAGAACGATAAGAATAAAGGGCCGACGGCTTTTTCCGGCCAGCACCCGAAGTATTCCTCCGGCCATGAGGATTCTCCTTTCGTGAGCTGACCATATCTTGTGGCCTACCCACAAATTTTGATTGATATGACCATTTGGCGGTAATGGTTTGGTGACTGATTTTTAATTCCAATTTGATAAGATTTTTTAAAATTATTTTAATTCATAAAACTTTTAATATATATAATTTAATTAAAAAGTTCTGTAATTTAAAACAAATCAAATAAATATGAATTTTATCTATTTCAATTAATTAAATATTTAAATGTGAATATAAACACGTGTATACGTATACCTATTATGTTATATACATATATATGTGATATATAATATAATATTATATATATTATAATATATATCTAATTTATCAAGTTTTAATTAATAAATTATTTTTTCTTGAAAATAGAAATTTAAAATATATTTTATTTTTTATAAAAACAAATATATTGATAAATTAAATGTAATTTGTTATATATTACCAACAAACTACTCTCAAATATAATATTTGTGACCACTCTCAAATATAATTATATTATATTATACTTTTGAATTCTAAAATTATTTATTAGTTTATATTTTAAAAAAAAAAAATTCTTATATTAGTTTTGAATTATATTTCCTAAAGTATATAATAATAAAGGTATAATAATTTAATAATTTAGATTCTAACAATTGTTTCGAATATTGAGATTTTGTCAAAATTCAAAAAATAAAACTTATTTCCTATAAGATTTTGAATAAAATTCAAATCCAAATTTATTATAACCCAATTTGAATAAAAGAATAGACATGAGTACTCACAATATAAAAAAGAAAGAGGAGTAGAAAGCAGGTCTACAAAGAAAATAGAGTCTAAAATGCTTATTCTTTGAATTATTCCAATTCTGAATATCTAATATCACTAATTTTGAGAATTTAAAAAAATTATAAGAGAAAATTAGCATAACAATAAAGGGGTAACGTTCATTATCCTTGGTTCCTTTATGTCTCCCATTCCACATTCAAGTTTCAAAATTAAAAAAAGTTGGAAGGCAATAGAACAAATTATATTCTTAACAAAGGAACATACATGGCCCCCCCTAAAATAAAGCGTATAATAAAATTATTAGAAAAAAAATTCACACTTCAATAATTTAATGTAAATTAAAAAGCATATGGAAAACTAATTAATGAAACAAATAATTGCAAATATTGCAGCCAAGTCATATTTCAACTAAATATACAAATTAAACACTAATAAAAATACATTAATATGTCTTCAATGAATAAATAAAAGAAAAAAAATAAACTAAATAAAATATTTGAAAAATAAATTGTTATCACTAATTTCCCAAAGAAAAACCGTACAAGGGGTTCCAAACCTTTGTGGTTCATTGTCTAATTGATATGTCTGATTACAATTACGTTCCTCCAAGTAATGCCACGCGGTGTTTTCATGCCATGTGGCAGCATTCTAGATTTCATGGTAGGCGAAGTCCATGAAACGCCAAAATAATTAAGAAAAAAATTACCACGAAAGTTGTGCTTCAGCATTGGCCAAAATAATTAAGAAAAAAATTGGATTGAATTACCGCCACGGCTGCTGAATTAATTGAAACGCCATTGCCTTGAGCCTCAAGTCTCCAGAAGAAAAATTGGACTGAAAGCAGTCAAACTACTTCATTTCATATTTGAACTGTTTGCTAGTAAAATCTCCCGTTCAACCAGTTCAAAAGTGTTCTTCAACTTGTGAGCAAACTTCTCCGATATGTTCCTAGTGATTCTCTGCTGGAACTTGGTGCTTTTTAGCCATCTTATACCGATATAAACATCACATTTGCAAGAATTAGCTGTCAGAACAGAGCTCTCGAATTTGTACCTGAAATGCACCTGCAAGGGTGGAAAGATTAGAGCTTCACCCAGCATCTGTAGTTTTCTAGGCATAAAGCTCAAAACAGTTTGAATCCGCATGTCAGTTCGGGTTTGTGTTCAGCGTTTTCTTTTCTGTTCTTTCTGTTTTTATGTGATTTTGAAAATAAAAAACTAGTGACAATCTTAAACTCAATTGTTTAATATCATTTCCATTTTCCAGCAAAAGTAGTTAATGAGAGTTCTAGAAACTACTTTTTGTAGTTTAGGCTTGTTTTCTGAAATATCTTCCATAAACAGTTCCCAAACAACTGGTTTCAAAAGCAAATCCAAAGGACCCTGCTTTTTCAACTTTTTAAATTTAAAAGCTGAACTTACAAGGCCAAAAACCCAAGCTGACATCCCCAAGGCCACAAAGAAGAAAGTGTTCACCAAGGCTGTCTTAGAAATGTACTGGTACTTACACGGAAGTGATCACTGAAAAGGATATCATGCAGGGCCATGACCTCATTCACAATCCACCCTTTTCCATCAGAACTGGGGAATTTCTGCTGTGTACAGGTAACTTCACCTCCAAAGATTGAGAATTGACGGCTAAATTTGTAACATAGACGCCTTTCAAACAAATCTGGCTTTACAGATTCCCAAGTGGTTGTGACGTATCCCAGGCAGCCAGACTTACCCATCACTTCATGCTCCAAATCTCCTCCTTCAAACATTTCCATGAGTGATTCAAACTGCAAGATGGTTTTGTACAGTTTCATCAACACTTCAAAACTTACCATTGAAAATAATAAAATGAAGTAAATATATGCCAAAATAATATAAAGCTAAAAGTCGACAGAGGAATTAACAGAATCCACAGTTCAGTCTGGAATAGAATCTCTAGTTACAGTGATTTAAGGTATAGTGTTATGAACAACAGAACAGAACATTTCATGAGAAATTAATTAGCCATGTTGAGTGGAAATAACGAGTAAATCAGCCTGCTGGATAAAAATCCTGTAACATATAATCTCTATGGTCTCAAATGTAAGCAAAAGATATGTAAATCAGCTAAGCATTGCACTCACTTTCACAGGAAGTTCCACAGAATAAACCTTGGACATATTTGCATCTGCAACAACCAAACAGGACCCAGAGTCTTCAAGCAATATGGACTTCCCATCTTCTTGCTGTTGCTCTTCTGCAATTTTTGCTTTCTGTTCAGGAGTGAGCCTTCTTGTTCTCCACAATGCTTTGATTGTCCTGTTAATATGACGTGGAAAACGTAAGAGGAAAAAAAAATAGAGGGTCATCTTATCATCTATCTAACTAAAAGTACGAGACTAAATTATCATTGGAAAGTCATACCTACTGGCTACATTGAATGACACAAACGATATAAAATAGAATTGAAGCCTGCCTTCTTCATCTTGAGATTTTGCTCCATGCCTAGCATCAAGACCTCGACCCTTGCGAAGAATTATGACCAACTGAGGGCTGCCCATGGATGATAGAGAAGGGGAAGCACCTGAATTTCATGAACGTCCTCCCACAAAAAGAAAAATTTTGTTTTGTGACCAAAGAAGTTGGCATAGAACCCAACAATTCTTGCAGATAGAAAAAGGCGCCCCTGTGCCAAAACAATGTCTCAAATCCAAGCAAATGGAAAATAGAATAAAAGAAAGTAGATAAGAACAGTCATCCTTATAAGTAAGCTACAAGCAACAAATAAATCAAAAGGTTTAAGCCTCCTTGGAAATGGAAATAGCATGCAGAAAGTGTAAATACAAAAAAGGTGGATTCATGGAATGAAGAGTGTGTGTGTGAACAGAAAACTAAAATTTCTAAAAGGGTATTTGAACATTTTTCATCAGAAGCTTTCAAAAAAAAAAAAAAAAAAAAAAAAAACACTTACTAGGAAATGCCAAACAAAAGTCTTATTTTCTTCAAGTTATACTTATGCTTATGTTTTGTTTTCTTAATTTTACAAAAATGACAAGACCCATTTTTCAAAAAAATCAAGGCAATACAAGATACAGTATTTTAGAACATTTCTCTCTTCTTGCAGATCCAAGGTTGCTTTTATGTTTAAGGACCCCCTATTGAACAAAAGGCCTTTGGTTTGTCCTGCATATCTGTATAACACCTGCTTAAATATGAGGAACTAACTACAAATTAATTATTACCTGTAATGGCATCTTTCTTTTCAAGGAGCATGAGAAGTCACTGATGAGAAATTCTTCAGGCGGCAACCCAAAAATTCTTTGGAATGTTGAATTTCTGTGGGGCGACCGAAGATTCAACTGTCACATGAATATAATGGAGCTACATTAACACTTCATATGATACGAGATACCAAATCCTAGATATAAAAACAACTCAAAAGATGCTAAAACTGAAAGAATTGGGTAAAAAGAATGCAAGAAAATAAGAGATGGGTGTATTGCACTATAATCATAAAAAACCAGAAGGCATTTTTACCTTCTTCCCGACTTCCTTTTCCATCTTCATTAGGTACTCTTTAATTGTTTCAACCCCATTATTATTATCCAAAAATATTCTAAGATGCAACTTTGACTGAGAAGATTGAGCAAGTTTCCCCTGGAGGGGAACCCAGAAGTCTGCCAGTTCTGTGGATGTGTGTCTTAAGAAATTTATCTCTGCATGACCTAGTGAGGCAGCCTGCTCAAAAGGACCATCAAAATCAAATACCTCCACGTCCAACATTGAAGGAGGTTCTTCAGCAGCATCAAACTCAAGTACCTCTGCAATAATATTTTAGTAAATACTAACTCAAATGAACCAGAAAAGATATCAACCATATAGATCTTACCATTCCATTGAGGATCAAGAGTTTGAAGCTTAACAGAGCTTGTTCTTGTTTTCCCATTGCACGTGAATACCACATAGGGATCTGGCAACCCCAATGGATCCAACAGGGTTAAGTTCATCCCCTCAATCAAAGCTATTGTGAGAACCCATCCATCACCTTGCCCTTTGACTCCATGATCACTACCTATTAACATACCGGTGTGAAGAATAAGGTGCAAAAATATGTCATACAAAGGCCTTGATTATATTAGAAACCAAGGGCCTGCTTGGATTGGTTTTTAAAAAACTGTTTTGTTTTCAAAAAGAGAAGCCATTTAAGCAGATAGTTTCCAGAAACTGTTTCAGGAGAATTTTCAGAAAACTGGCCCCTTTTCATAATTGACAGAAACTATTTTTCCTTGAAAATGATATGGAAACAACAGAGATTTCAACCTTTTCAGTGTTTTCTGCTTTTAGAAACACAGAAAATGAAAACAAAAAACCACAAAAAAAAGATACTTCTTGGCAGCATGACAGCAACATTGTACAGGTGCTTACCTCTTTGCAACCTAGCTTGTATAAAACGCGATACCATGCTGTAAACACGTTCTAACTGAATGACTATGATTCCAGCTGTTATAAGCTCCCCAAAACTATCTGGTAAATCTATACCATTAAATTGCAGTCCCTGCAGCTTTCCAAGTCTACATAACACAATATGCAAAAAGACATACAAAGTAACAAAAGCAGTGGAAACCACTGTAAAATTCCAAAAGTAACAAGTTGCCAACTCCCAATCCGTTTGGTGCCCATTTTGCAAAGTTGCCAACAAATGATCCTTGTCTGATACATTTAAAGAATACACTTTTTTGAAATTATGAGCCAACAAACTACCAAACTGGCCAAAGCTCTCTTTTAATCCTTGTCGAACTCCTCCTTCAATCATTCCCCTCATCATAGTATTTTGAATGAAGTTAATGCCCCAAGACACCACAAGACGAGAGGATTCTTCTCCCGAAGAGAGCTGTGGCCCTGGTATTATACAGTAAAGTATTTCGATCATAAACATGTTACCATATGGAGCATCGGGTGTGCTCACATTTACATGAACAGCAAATTCTATTCCATCTGCCTTAGCATATGTTTGCTCTTCAGTGGCTTTAACAGCCTTAACTAACTTTGATGCAGGATTTGTATATGTAACAAATCTAGTTAAGCATGACATGTCTTCTGGTTTAAATGTCCAGGAACCCTCTTGTACATCTGTTGTTCCTTGCAAGTCTGCAAGATCTCTCCTGAACTTTGAATTGGGAGCAAAAAGAAATAAGTTGAGAACTTTAGATGGTACAATGTAGGTCTCATCAAGCAGAATGCCCCCTCGCAAGTTCGTAGGCATTTCCCTTTCTTTGCTCATTGATTGCATCTTCTCCATAGCTTCTTCAAAGCTAGAGCCAGATAGGGGCTCTTCAATGCAATCCTCATAATCGGACAGCATGGTGGACTGCTCTGACGAAGTATCATTTCCGGAGCTATCCTCATTCCTAGGATTATCCTCATTTTTATTGAATAGCCTCTCCAAACGGCCTGTTAGAGCTTTCATCATCTGTTTTCCCTCTAGAATCTTCCTATACGGAGCTTTGGAGTAAGAAGGATCTTGATATGTAACATAGACACCTCCCCATTCTCTACAATTCGCATCATTATCCAATGAATGTTCACACAAGGGTGGGTCAGTGGATATGTCTGGGCCTCTTCCATGAAGAGAAAGAGACAAAAGAATTTTCCCTGCAACCATAAGGAACTAGTTCCTTTAAAAAAAAAAAAAAAAAGAAAAATTGTAATTTTAGAAATGCTCAGGTTTTACAGTTTTAAGCAGCTCTCATTGCTTTTGGCAAGTCAAGAAGAACAGCATTCTAAGAGATACCATTAAATCTCATTTTCATCATTGGCTTGCACAATTAAATTGTGATACAGCATGCTGGATATAAACGGGATTAGCAACCTTAGAAACAAAACATGGATCTTTAACAGCCCTAAGGGAAAATCTAGCCTAGCAAAGTACAAAAATGAAAGTGCTAAAATAATGGAATTACATCAAATAGGGATTAGTGACCCTAAACTACAGATTAGTCAAAGAATTGCAACACATTGGAGACTTGGATGGCAAAAGGTGCAGACAGCAGCTGAAAAGGATTGAATTTGAACAGCAAAAACCAACCGAAACAAGTAACCTCAAGTGCCATATTATAGCCATCATCAAAAGTTATAAACTGTATTGGCTTAATCATCTTACAGTTACATACGGAATTTGATAGCGAAAGCAATCAACAAATCACATAAACCCATGGCGGTAACCAAATTACAAAAAATAAAATTGACTAACTCAGAAAATGCCGAACTGTGATCTTCAGCCTAACAAGAAAAACAACCCACCTAATCCAAATGAATCAATTTCTTGTCCTTCACACTGAGAACAGAGATGTATTACGTTCTACAAAAAGCATATATGAAGAAGACACGTTTAACCAAACTACTGTAAGAAAACAAGAAACATGGCATGACCACCCTTCCCGGAGGCGGGGCCAAGAGAAAAAGAATATAACCAAGCAAATTAGAGTTCCCAAAGCACTTAACAGCTAAAACATGTTTCAATTTATTAAAAAAAAAAAACTGTGGCAAAAATGTTGATTTATTTTCTCTTTTTGTCATTGGTTGCGCAATATTATCTCAATATCCAAGGCAGTTGATTCCCAAAAGTAGAAAAATGCACCCTGAAGAAATGATCACTTCTGACTCGTAAGCGTCCTGATAAAGAAAAGAGTAATGATGCGTGCATTTATTTGCTAAAACAGAGGCAGAAGCGCACTAACCACAATCCCTGTTGTTTTTCGATCTTGAACCTTTGGGCTTCACGAGAGAGAACCAAGTAGCAGGCAAGTTGTGATTCTCCTCGGCAGCAACCGACCCTATTGGAACCCGAACCCGACCCACCAAATCCGCGGACATATTGAAGAACCCAGAGCCCTCGACGGTTCGATACACAGAGACCACGAGCTCGTCTTCCATGTCGTGAACCCTGAAAGCAAACTCCTCATTCCAAACTGGGTTTTTGGTGTTCTTCAAAACCCTGGTTTTGGACTTGAACTTCCCCAGCTGCAGCTTCACGTAGGAGTCTTCAACAGCCAAATCTCTGCCCTCCAGCACATAGGCGTACAGTCTCATTTCTGCAAGATTATTAAGCTAGTCTTTGGAACACAGTGTGCCTGAAATCAAGTCCCTTGAGAAGTTGGAGAAAAGAACTGTTGGGAGCGGGGGGAGGGAGCGGAGGAGAGAGAGAATTCCTGGTGAAGCCATGGACAAAGAAACGTGTGGGAGGGGGGAAGCGACACGATGGGAGGGCTAGAGAGAGAAAGCACCAACTTCGGAGAAAGATTTCTAGAGAGAGAAAATGACAGAAACGGTCGGTTTTCCGCTGGAGAGACATTTCATTCAGTGACTTACGGCTTCTGGCAAAAATTATTTGTATATACACTACTCATTTCTTAGGATTCAAGATTTCAAGATAGTCATCTTTTGTTTGGTTTGATTCTTAGAAGAAAAGTCTCAAAATATTTTTACAAAATCCGAGAAATATATTGAGAAAGAGTCGACATATAATTCTAAAGCATCATTAACATGCGTATTTTGTTTTGGGAACGGAGAAGGTTAAAATTAAATTCCTAATTTCTTTTGGATACAAAGGTTTTGCATTAGTCTAAAAAGTTTTTCTCATAAATATTTGTTAATTATATATTATCATTTTTATACTTTGTTACTTATGGCTAATGATTAAAGTTTACACCTTGTACAAGTAGTCTCTTGTGCATTGGAAATTAGGTATAGTTTTTGTTTATTTCATTACCTTTTTTTATTCACTATCCAAAAGGTCGATGAACAAATAAAAATAATATCAAAACAAAAATCAATCTAAAGAAATAGAAAACTGAATTCGCCAAAAACTAAATATTTTTATATTAGATCAAATCGTTTAAAAAATTAAAAATTAACCCATTTTTTAAGATAAGATTTGACGTGAGATGTATAAATTTAATAGCTCATAAACTAGGCCTCAGATAAATTGTATGTTATGTAGCTATTGTGGCATTGATTTCCTCAACTGTTGAGTTAGAAGGAGATTTGGGTTTGCTTATTTTATACATATTATATAAATAGGTCAAAATTCCAACCAACCCGAATTGAGCATATCTTAAAATTTGTCATGTTTCGTGTACCCCAAAAACAAAATTGTCATGTTTCCTATCTCATTCAAGCGGGGTCAATTGAGTCTCACCATCGGTAACTACTTTTTACCAAATTATACTTTTTTACATTCTTTACTTATGAGGTGAAAAAGTTGGCTATTTCCAGGGGTCGCAATTACGCGGCTGTCAATATATTTATTCTTATATCCGATTGAAAAATTTGCTCTTATATTAAATATTTTTTAAATTTTTATTGAATAATATTATATTTATTTTGTACTTATATGGTTATTTGAATATAATTTATTTTTAATTTAAATATATATTATAATATTTAAATATTCTTTTAATATATTAGTATTTGAATATATATATATATATAACACATTTAATATTATATTTTCATAATTTTTCTCGTCTTCAAAAAATAATTTATATTTTATATCCAATTTTAATTAAATAAAATTTGTAAAGATTTATTAAATATAAATAAAATTGTCATCCCTTGTTATTGCAAACAAATACTCACGAAAGTAATACACTTCATTCCTCCAATTCAATACTTTAATATATTTGAACCATCCAAACGAATTAAATATCAATTTTGCATGAAAATATATTAAATACAAAAGGATGTTACTTCCTGTTCCTGTGTTTAGAAGAATAAATCCGATCCATTTGTGTCCAAAAGCTGCAGATTATATTAATGAACAAACTTCGAATGTATTGTATTTAGTGAAGCTTCGCTTAGAAGTTGGACCCGTGAAAACCTCGATTTTGCAGTTGCTTCAGCACTTGGCCAATGCATGAGCTTTGGAATTGTTTCCAGCTTTTCCCAACTATTTCATTATTTCTCTATTATTTACTCCCGTACTACACCTCTCCTCTCATCATGTACCATGACAGCCCAGTTAAGCCTCAACCGGCCCAATTCAAGAAGGTCAATGGATTGGACTAATAGGAGATGGGTTGAGTTGGGTTAGGTTGGTTTAAAAATAGAGTTGGGTTGGGTTGTTGTGAATGGGCCATGCCAGGATTGGCAAGTTGAAATGATAAATTTTTAGAGATCTACAATTTGCAAGAGTATTCTGTACAGAGTTCAAATTAGAGCTATATTCATTTAAAATCCAAGCTAGATTAGAGATTGAGATTAAATTCTGTCAAATAAGGGGTGTTATTTGAACGATTAAATAGGAATTAAGCTGATTTGATCAAAATTCTCTAAGTTCTATAAAAGCGTTAGGGCTCAATTGTTCAACGGGAGTGAAGATGGATTTGATTTGAGAAACAGAGTGGGAGACTGAGAGATTCCTTGCATTCTAGTGTGAGAAATATAAGATTGGAAACCAAGTGAGTTTCCATAACCTCTAGTGTCCATCTTCGCTCTCTGTGCTTGTTTGAATCTATTTATTTCTTCTCCTGCGGATGTTGTGTGTGTTCTTGTGATTGTGCGTCTACTGGGCTTGGAAACAGTCAGGTCACGGGGTCTGATTCTGATTGTGCGGACAAACCCCTAGAGAACCTTGTTAGTGGTATTGATCAATAAGGAGCCTGCTATTTTGACCAGTTGCAGTTGTAGGAGGAAAAGAGCCGAGGTTGAAGGCGTGTGGGCCACATGCACAGGCCAAAGACAGACTGGAAATTCACACGCAGGATCTAGCAGCCGGCAAGTGAGGCGCATGAAGTATGGAAGAGGCTCACGAGGTGCGAAACCTGCTGACTTTTGACCACTACACCTGTAAATATAACGGGTTGGGCGCGGTCCACGAATATTCAGATCCATCTAACAAAATCTGATCTGGTCGTCAATAAGATCCAATACACTTGAGGATGGACACGATCTGGAAATGAGAGAGGGTTGATTTGCCAACATGCTTTGTTATATAGTGCAAATATTTTAGTGCCATATTATATTAAAATAATTTAAATTTTAATAAAAACATGCGTATATAGTTAATTTATGACAGAATAAAAGCGAATATAATTAAATGTATTAAATATGTTTTATTTTTTAATTATAATTATTAAAGATGATCTACCAAGCTTATGTTGCTTTTTGGCTAGCCTCCTCATCGATTTCCTTTCTTTTTGGGACTACACGTCCTCCACAGAATCCCTCTCCGCTTTTTCTATCTTTCAAATCCTCATTCCAAGATTTGTTTTTAATAGGGATTTAAAGCGACTGTTATTCCCTAAACTTCAGGTCCATGTTCATCATCTTAGTCCTAAACTTAAAACTTATTCAATCAAAGACCTAAAATCTTTAAATTTGCTCAAATAAGAATTTCTTTTTTGGAAGTGTGGATATTTCGTTTGGATTAAACAAAAGAGGAAGTAGAGTTGTAAGAGCTGAAAAATATTTAAAAAGAAAAGGTTTAACCATCAGCCGTTCCCCACGGCTGACTACCTCAGCCCCCAGGTGTATTGGCTAAGAGGATGAGGGTTGCCAAACGGTGGCAGAGGGTTACGGTGCTCTTCCTTTTTTACTGTTTTTGCAAAGTGCTTCCCGCCTCAACTGCCACTGGACACAAAATTGATTGAAACTGTAAAACAAATCAGAGGCAACATTTTGGTAATCATGGTTAAGGAAAGTTAACAGAAATCCTGCCTTGAACAAATTCAACAAAGTTAGTGTCGCCGATTGAATAATTCTTAAATTCAAAGACAAAAAATTGAACTTAGGACCGAAGGTTTTTGTTTTTAGAGAGAAGAACTTAGGACCAAAATTAGATACCAATAATAGCTTTAACCCTTGCTTATATGATATTTCCTTCCTCCTAATTAATTCATTTAAAATTAATTTATTATAATAAACTTAGTTGTAACTAAGCTGTAAATCTCGTTTGTGGGACTAGCGAGTTGGGGAATGTTTATCAAAATACTTTGGATTAATAGTTGAATAAATTTTAGACCTGTATGGTAAAATATACTTGAATTTGTAAAATAATAATTGTTAAATGACAAAATCCAATTTTGTTATTTGACCTTACAATCTTGAACTGCGAATCTCGCAAATAAATAAATAAAAACAAATTCATTAGTTCACAACTTCCTTCTCAATCACTCCTAATAGTTTCTTTCTTAATCGCTCTTGTAATATTAAACCATATCTAAAGATTAACCCAGATAAAAACAAAAGATAAATCCAGAAGAATGTTGGTCCCATCGTACTGTATAAATCCTCAGTAACTATAACTCCAATCGATGCCATACCCACCTTTAATCGGACAAGTTCACTATGAAATGAGTCAAATGATGGGAAAGATTGTTGCAGGGCCACATGGGAAGACAGTGCAGTTAACGTCCCGTGTCCATTTTAGCCATCGTGATTGAGCCATCTGTGCCCTCCGCCACGTGATCAATGTCCCTTCCATCCGGAATCGCCCATTTCCCTTTTGTACTTCTTTATAAAGCTTAATTTAGCCACCCAACCAGCCCTTCTGTTAGTCCTAATTGTCAGACCTGTTATGTGCTCATTTTGATTACTTCCTCTTTTCTTATTAGTCCTTGCTTGCCCCACACAATCGACAGCTTTTTGTTTGGGTTCAACGAATCCAACGTCATTCCCTGATTATGAGTCCAGACCTGTACCAAGAGAGGACATAAATGATAATGCAAAAGCACCGAATTACTAAAGTACAAATTCGACTAGGAATTTCTCGTGGTTAAGAATGATGACCTTTTAGAACTCACATGCGAAAGCTAATATACGTGTGCAACGTAGCAGCAACCACGGCGCCATGACGAAGACGTGTAAGCATTCAGAAATCGGCACGTTACTGAACTATAACTAGAGCCTGGGGGTCCTATCCGGATGGATGATAAAAAAGCAGCAAAAATAACGGCGGATAACGAAACTGTAACTGTGAATTTTGTCATCTCCAAAACAATAAAACAAGATGAGGATGGAGATGGAGCAAGTTTCCTGAACATGAAGAGAACAGAAGAAAATTGGATTGGAGAATAGATTTGAACTCAACTACATCATCGCCGCCTGAAAAAGATAGAATCGGAATACTTCTACTACCATTTTACAGTCCCATCACACGCATCGCTAATGGCTTTAAGTTTTTCTTTTTCCTCCAATATTTTTTGTTTTTCATATTTATGTAAATTTGTAATCTATCTTCTTAGGGATAGCATAGCCCCTCGAGTCACTGCCAGAGACTCCAGAGAGGAATGCGGTGGAAAACCCTAGGGCTTCCTTGGTAACAGCAGCCATAGTAAGGAAATTTAGCCGTATCTTTCCGAACAGCTGGCGGAAATCCCAAAACCGCCGGCGTATTCCGGCCACCGCTCCAGTACCGCTCCGACGCGGCAGTTTCAGAACAGAGTTTGGTCAATCTACAAGGAGGCGATGTGGTCGCAGACAAATCAACGCTGGACACGGGGGAAGTAGGCGGCGAGATTTTTTTAACAGATTCGAGCGGGAAAAGCACAGCTCTGATCTTCAATTCCTTGTGCGTAACCGACGAGAAACGATCGTATTCGTCGATGATATTAGCGAGATCCTCATCGGAGGAGATTGAAACCAGCACGTCCAGATCTTCAGTCGGCAATTTGCACTTCAAACTCATGGACGAACCACACAACTCCCCGAACCTCACCATCAGCTCTGCGTCAATCCAAATTCAATTAAGTTCCTCCTATATCCCAGACGCAACACACACGAAAACAGATAAGAGAAATAGACGAACCAACCTGCAAATGTGACAGAACGATCGACAGCGAGAACTCTGGTGTATCCACCTACGTACCGGAGCTTGCCGTCTGTCTGACGCGGGACGATTTTGCCGCCGTAGCTGTAGAGGAACTTTATCGTTTTGGCGCTGTTGGCGTTGTTGTTTGAATTCAATGCCGGAGTCATGTTCGATTATAGAGCGAGAGAGGGACTCCCGGGAGGTTCAAGGGAAGGGACAACTTCAAGTTCCAACGTCTGGCTTATATAAAGCGTTTGGAGGGCAGAGAAATGGAAACGGCCGCATGGGCTTGTCGTTGACGCAGTGGGCCGGTCGTTAGTTGCGCACGTTACGCGGAGAAGGCTTTTAACGGCAATTTTTTGGGAAAAAGGAAGGAATCGCCGTGAGCTTTCCGTTAATCATTCTGATATTCGGTTCTCGCTGTTCAAGGTGGAGAAAGCATAGTGGCCCTCTCGGGTCGGGATTAGTGGCTGCCAAGGTGGAGCCACAGGGGACCGCCTCGTGGCGCCTAATGCTTGGCCCACTTTGTCCAATAAACACCCCCGCTCAAAATTAATTTTTCTTGAACTATTTTGAAAAAGAAAATGTCATCAATTTTTAAATAATAAGCATAAAGAAAACAAACCAAGAGGAGTTAAACTGGCGGAAAACCCCAAAACACAAGTTCAAAAATTAGAGATTGCAAACTACCTTATGTTACAACTTGCCTACCATTACAAAATATCAAAAATAGTTTAAAATTTCATTTAAATTATGTTAATTTATTATGAAAATTTTAAAAAATTGATTAATTGCAGCTTGTTTGTATCCATGGAATGATTTTAAAATTTATTTTAAATAATTTGTTGGACTAAATTTCATAAAAAATAGTTAAAATAAAAAATGGAAAGAATTTCAAACCTTTTATAGTCTAAATATTAAATTTCTTTAGTACTATACAAGGGAGATGGATTATATACAAGAAACTAAAATAATAATAAAATCCCAATATTTTTTTCATTTATTTATTTATTTATTTTAGTTGGAAAGCACATTCTTTTAAGGGTCAAGAAGAAGTCCTTGTAAACTTATCTGATTAATAAGAGTCAGGGGCAGGTGTTTATTTGACAACCAATTGTTTTTATCTTATTAAATCAAAAATTAAGAAAAAAAAAACTTTTTACAAAAATTAATTGGACAAACAAACGTCAGTTTAGAAAGATTAGGCAGATATTTGTTCAAGGTAGGGATAGAATTTGAATTATGAAGGATAGTTGGTGGTGACTGATGCGACTGGTACAAGGGCTTCTCAACAGAGCATTACAGGTAATCTTGGGATTTCTTCCTCGACCAAGTTATTTTCTTTAATTTCATTTAATTTTTTTTCTTTTTTAATATGATTTATTATTTGATTTTATATTTAGTTTCAATTTCCAATTGGTTTAGGATTTGTGATCACGAATGATTTTGGAATCTTTTAATCTATAAAAAATTAAAATTTTAATTAATTTATTAATTTATTTGTGATGTAAGGCAACTGTACTCTTGAACAAAAATATGTATTAATTTTTTACATATTATTTTATTTCGTATATGTTATTAAATTTTAATGGTGCAAAAATATAAATAATATCAGAATAATATTTATTTTTTGAGCCTAAATAAAACAAAAGAACACGGAATGAAAATGAAATCACGTGCCTTGCCGACTTGTACCGCTGCCACCGCTGTTTCTGGGTCCCAACCTCCAACTCCCGAGAACCACAAAGAAATGGAATCCCATAAATCTTGAAGGCGTTGAAAGGCTCTCCTTCTTGAACTTAGGTCCATTCTTTTATCTGGAACAAAAAATCTGGCCTTTTTTGACAAAATTAAATATTAGAAGTAATGGGTATTTTATCATTTTTAGATTTTAAAAATTTTTAAAATATTCGAGATTTTTAAATTTAATTTCGATGCATTTTGAATTTTAAAATGTTAAATTTATAAAATTTACAAAAATTATTTGACATTTACAAATGAATTTGCCTGTTAAAGTGGGTTTGCAGAGAAATGAAGTAAAAATTTTAATATAGGAGACTTTGAGTTTAGGGAAAGCAACTCTAAATTTAAAATTTAATTTCTCTAAAATCAAAATCATATAAAAATTTAATCAAATTTGGAGACAATTAATTTTTTGAAACCCATTTTTAAATATCTTATTAGAGTTCATGGGTTTTAGAACTCCTAAATTTCTTAACTTTTTCAATGATTTTTGTCACCTTGAATTTTTGAACCCCCAAAATAGGAGCTTTAAGACACAAAAAAAAAAGGCCATAAGTTTTTTCTCAATATTTTATTTTAAACAATTAAGAATTTTATTTTTTAAAAAAATAAAATCCTGAAATTCAATTTTTTTGCCTTAAATGAAATATTGAAAATTGAAAATTCCAATACCAAATATGCGGTACATCCAAATATAAAAGAAAATCCAAATACAACACGATATGGGTGTCAAGCCTTAAACTAATCCGATGTCGTGGACAAAGACAGTTTATTCAATCACTTTGCTCTGCCTGGAATTTGGAATTTCACAACCATGTTCGTTGGATAATGACACTTATTAAAGAAGATATTGAATAAATAAATAAAAGAAAATTTATTTTCTTGGATCTGTTCATATGGTTTGACGATTTCAATGATTTTGCACTAATGGTAATTTTGTATTTGAAATAAATGAGTTTGTCTTCATTCATAAATTGGGTTTAGTTCTTCTCTTTCTTTGTAGTATTTGTTTTCTGAAGTTTCTAGATGATTTTAGAACCAAAATTATATTATTTTCATGTAATTTTTATTTTTGATTGAAGTTAGTTTCGAAATTATGGAAAGAAACACGTTCATGTTTTTAAAAAATGGGCTTTGCTTTCTAAAATTTTCCCCGTGAAGAATAATTTGTCTAATGAATTTTCAGTTTATCAGTTAGCTACTTTCAACAACAGAAAACAGCTTTCAAAAATACTAATAAACAGTTTCATTTTAGCTTTATTTTTCAAAGAAACCAAACAACTCCTTGCCAAAAACAAACGGACAAACAAACCGCTAAGGAGAAATTCCGAGAGTAATAACTCTATTAACAAAAGTAGTCCAATTTCTGCCTCCTAGTATTGTTCCTAAAAGGCTAAATTAGATAAAAAATAATAATAATAATAATTACCTTAATATATTGACAAGAGGACAATATCCACGATTGGGACCATAGGGACCAATGCCCATCAGGGATGTTTCATGGATAGAAAGGGGTTGAATATTTTGATTGTTGACCACTCCCTAACCTCTTTTTATTGGATATGAAAGCCAATCACCTTGTGCCACGTTGATAATCAACACATATCTGTCTAGGGGATAAAAACAAAAAAAAAAAAAAAAAAATCAAACCCTACCATATAAAGAAGGACATATTACAGACAATTACTACAATAAAAAAATCTACGTACCCAAATAAATATCTTGCATGACTTCTTAATTAAACAATAATTAGTAAATATCTAAAATAATAATAATACTAATAACAACGACAACAATAATAATATTAATAACAATAACAAAGGAGTGAGTCAAAATTGTAGTACTTGTTAAATCAATATCAGAATTAATATTTTATACTAATTTGATAATTGTTAAAACTATTGACTTATTGAGTCATTACCTAATATCAAATATTGGCCACGCAAGTGATATTATTTACATGCAAGTGTCCGCGTAAAGGAAAGCAATACCTCAGTTCTCAAACTTGAGCTAGAGTAGGTCTAGACATATGAGAAATTTCAAGTAACAAAATCTTGGAACGTTGATGGTCAAGTGTGTCCAAGTTCATCTTATCATGTTGATTAAATAGGAAAATGTTGAAAAGACTTTAAAACACATATTATCAGCTAATAGTTTAAGAACATTTATGTTATTCAAATATGTTTAATTAGAGAGGTAAAAATTAATGTTTATAATTTTGATTTTGACACAGATTTCGAAATTTTATATTATCTGGGAGTTAAGACATTTTGATGAATAAACCAAGACTTAAATTGATAACTATAAAGAGAATATCTTAGCATGGTTAATAAATGTGAACTTTGACTAGGGGTCAATTATTTAAAAGAAGTTAGAAACATGTATTGTATTGTGACTCTCCAGGGATGATTGATCTTAAAGGCATTATATTTTAAAATGTATAGACAACAAATAATATATCATCAAATGTTGTTAGAAAATTTAGTATATGGAATTTATTTGCCCGTTGGCACGAAATAATTTGTGAAACTTCCAGGGTTATTTTAGAAACCTAAATGGTGAAGTGGTACATTCACATATACTGGGAGATTTGGGGAAAATTTTGAGAATTATTAAAACAAAAATATTATAATTACTTAAATAAAGTTTACAATAATTGGGGATGATAATGCCATAATAATTTTGATGGGTCCTATGAATAGACTACAAAGAATCATTCTTCGATAAGTCATGCCTCAGTTCCTAAATTAGATTCACAATTCCATCAATGATTCCAGGTCCTAGTGAAACACAAAGTTTGGTGTCAGTAGGTTGAATGGATATCTATCAGAATTAACTAGTGAGGACTAGCCAAGAGACTGCATAAGACAAAGCATGGTAGCAAGGATGGATACAGGGGCCATGCCCTCTCTGTAAGAAATATCCTTGATACTTTATTTTTGTTAGTAATCTGAAGTAATATTTACATATTTTACTTTTGTTAATTGTGTTGAAAGTTAAAAGAGCCCATTATCCTAGCAACTCTCGTAGTAGGTTAGCGGATAAAGATAAGTTTCTAGGTGAAAGGAATGGTTAAAATATTTATTTATTACTAGGATTTGAAATGTGATATATTCAAAAAGTTATACTTTATTGATCAAATATACATGTATAATTAGGTACAAATT